TAGAGATAAGTTTATTTCTCTCGAAACAGGGCCACCATTTGCAATGAGGTCACCACCTTCCCCGTAGACAACGTTCTCCAACAAACTCACCACTGCAGTCGGATGTAGTACAAAGGGTGGCTTCTTCAGACCCCAAATGCCACGTTCAAGTAAGTTTTACGTTTGTTTTTTTAATGGTCTAAGTCATGGCCATTTCGTAAGTGAAGAAATGTACCATGAAGAGCAGCTTATGGACATAAAAAACTCTCATGTTTACACCAGCTCAGCTGTCATGTATTCTTACCTGGTAGACTTTCTCTTTTTTTTCCTGTGTATTTACAGAGTACATCAGTAATAGATGGAGGTACGAGTCAATTTAGAAGTAATGACATTGTCTGGACTTTGTTTTGAGAATGCCTGATGCTAGGTAAACATGACAACATACGTAGTACTGTTCTTGTTTTGATGATTCACTTATGAACCATTGGGATATATCATCATATAAATTAATTAATGGTGTAAAATTTTACTTAAACAACCACAAATATTTGGAAGGTTAGATTCGACATAAGCTATACAGTATTGGGTAAATTTTAAGTTTTGGTCATCCCTGTACTTAGATAAGCAAATTATGTTTATCTGATGGTTTACGATGTGTTATGAAGGATTTTGACCTTCATTTCTATCGGAAATCACTAGTTTTGAGTAACTATCCCCCCCTCCCTTACTGGTGTATGTTAAGCAAATCTTATAAATTATAATAAAAGTTATCATACCATAACCAAACCTAACCTAATATATGACCTGTATTTTCTTATGCGATCGAAAAATGTTTTGCTACAGAAATCCAGTAGAGATCATGTGTCTTATTGTTTAAAGTACTTAATCCCAAAGTTAGAATCTTAAGGTTCCCCAGATGACCAAAACCAAAATAATATCAATATTGTTTGAAATGTTTATTCTATGAAGTTTGTAGTAGGGGCAGATAATATCCATTGAATAGATTTATGTGCTTAGTAATATTTATATACAGCAAACCCTTGCCATTTGCGAGGGATAGGTTCCAAGAAATGGCGCGAATTGGCTAAACCGCGAATAGCCGTTTACATAATACCTTAGTGCACTAATATACAGGTTTACCTATACTGTGTATGAGAAACTTAAGTCACAATACTGTACTTACATTCGTATGTGGAAGTCTGGAGCTTTCTCATTTTTCACTGTTCTTGTCATGAACAACCTGAGCCACTTTAGCATTTGCAGGAGTACTTGCTTGAACAGAATCACGTATTGCTTGTTCAATCTTTCTTATGTACCGCACTGTGGATTCGTTCACACCAAACAACCGACCAACCGGGTTAGCACTCATCCTCTCCTTTAACTTGTCTAATAATTCAACTTTCTTTGCCAGAGTCATCACTGACTTTTGCCATTTATGTTTCACTCCACTAGCATCACTAGCACTGACACTAGGCAGTCTTTTCAGGACCATTTTCACAAAGAAACACGAAAGTTTTGAGAGTATGACACGAGATGCTTGGTCATGGGTACTGTGAGGGCAATCAGAGCAAGATGAGATGCTGCGGGCGCGTGGGGTGACTTGTGCTGAGGGAGAAGGCTCGCATGCTAGCCACCAGCTGCTTACCACGAATCGTAAACCGGCAATTGGGAAGGGTTTACAGTATTCAATATAGTATTACAGTGTTGCACAGTAATATTTATTTACAGAGCCGATCAGCCAAGAAGGTTGGACAACTACTTCCAGGTTTCATCAAGGTAGATGAAAGAAATTTACCAAGAGTAGATGTCTTTATGATTGTAGAGTATTTTCAAGAACTCCGCCATCCAGTTATGAAACACGTTAAATTACATCTGTCATCTGATCATCTCAGGCCCATTCCCTGGCTATGGTTGTCCCTAGTCTTTCCACATTAAATATCGACATCAGTGACGAAAACTTACATTTTCCAGACAAGAAATAGAGAACAGTGATGAAAACTTCCATGTTGGAGTTATCGGTCTTTTGCATCATTTTGACAGCCAGTAAGTAAATACACACAATGATACTTGAACAGTAATTTATTTTAACATAAGAATAAGGTATGCTTGTGTATATCAACATTGTATATGGCCACAAGTCCTGTATTTCTGCTGGTAACAACACATACACCACAGATGGCTTCCTCCAGGCTCCTGCTTGGCGGCTCGAGCCAACCTGTGACGTCACAACCAATCACAGAGCTTTACGCAGTCATGTGACTTTTTAGCTACTTTAACCCTTATTTTTTACACTGTTTGACCCAATTTGTTAAAAAATATCATTACCATAGTGAATTTAAGTGTTTTATTTACCCATTGACCTGCCATTTATGAAAAGTTCTGACCGGCAACTTGTCTATTGTCAGAGCTAACTTTTTGGAATAAAATATGGTGTGGTCTTGGAATAACCTGCCAGAGTGTTGTGATGCCACCAAGTGTGAGCTTACATAAAACCAGACTTGACCAACACTGGCACAGGCACAGATATATTCTGGAGCCAGTTTATGTCCAATGCTTGCCAACAGTGTGTAAGAGAGACGTGACCAGCAGCCCAAGTAGCTAACAGGTTGATAAGTGATGAAGAGAATAAAGTAAAGTACAGTACCGGTATATTATTTATTATTCTATCTTTTTGTCAATATTTCATCCCTTCTCTCCCTTTAACACCTTTTGTTTGTGCTGTTACACCTCATTCCCGCTGGTGATCTTACACTGCCTCTATGTCTATTTTTTCAGTGACTTTTTCCTCTCTCTCTCTCTCCCTATCTCCTTTTGATAAAGCCAATAAATCAAATGTATTTGCTATGTCTGTGCAGTGAGCAGCTGCTGTACTGTACTAACCTCGAAGGCAGATTGAGGGCAGAGCAGACTGAGCATACAGAATTAGTCAAAATCTTTACACTGTTGATGGACATTAATTAAAATGAACTAAAATTTAGTAATAGAGGCTCACCTCCCCTCAACCCCCATCCTACGAAATCTACCGTTCTCCTGCTTACTACTAGATACTGGGCTGACTTCAGCAGGTAGGTGTTATGAATCTTTAATGAATTTCTGTTGAGGCTTCAGCCAGTGTTCAGTTGATCTACGTTCATTTTTCTTAGCTTAACGTAAAATACAAAGACAAAAGTGTTCTTTCTCGGTATGTGTAGTCGTGTTGGTGGTGTAAGCAGCTCTGGCTTCCTGATTTGAGCAAACAGCTCAGTTTTGTTTCATAAAATCAATAGTTTATTACAGGTTGTACCTCTCTAGTCCGGCAACCTCGGGACCTGACCGGTGCCGGACCATGGAAATTCACCCTTTTCCTGGATTGATAGTGACTTGTGCTTATGCTTGGAAGCACTAGCACCACTTTCTCTGCATCATGGTCTCTTTGAAGACATATTGAAGGGTTAAATGTCGTATAGTAGCTTCTCAAATTTCGCGAGTTTTTAATTCTTAACGTATTTTATTGGAACACAAAAAAATAAATAAATAAAAATTTTGACGGAGGAAACTTGAATTTCGACGGGTTTGAACGGCCCGCCAACGTGCAGACGACGTGCATAATCGTGTAAACAGCGTCATTTCTCTTATGTACAAAAGATTCATTATTGTTTATTACTGAATGAGTTTTTTATTGAATTAATGTTTATGTATGCAAAATTAGCAATACAATTCATTAATAATACGTAGAATATTAAAACACACGAGGAAATGACACAGCATTGTTTTCGTTGATTACAAAACCAGTGACTGACTGGTTCTACATATAAAACTGAAGAAAATAAGACCTTGGTTGTAGCTGTAGTAAAATTAATATGGTTGTTTTAAGTAATGTTATTTAATGTTAATAAATGGAACAATAGAAGTAGCTAACGATAATGGTAAAGAAAAAAGAGAGATCGTGTATGTAAGTGCGCATGCGCACACGTGAAAACATATCGTCATTACTTTACATAAGAATATGAAAGCAACACTTATTTACTGTTCATATATATTTTAATTAATGTTTCTGAATTTGTTTTTATTGAATTAATGTATGTGTGTGCAAAATTAACAATACAATTTATTAATAATACGTGGAATATTAGAGGAGACGAGACGGCTGCCGGCATTGTTTATGTTAAAGCTTACGAAACCAGTGACTGATTGGTTTGACATATAAAACATAAGAAAATAAGACCCTGAGCTTAGCTGTAGTAAAATTAATGTAAAAAAAATATGGTTGTTTGAAGTACCTGTAATGTTATTTAATGTTAATAAATGTAACAATATACTGTAAGTAGCTAACCATTAATGGTAAAAAAAAAGTGAGACTGCACGTATGTACTGTAAGTGCGCACATGTGAAAACATATCGTCATTACTCTACATAAGAATATGAAAGCAACACTTATTTACTGCTCATATACATTGAAGGGTTAAATGTTGTACTCTGTATAGACAAGCAGAGCGAGAGAGAGAGAGAGAGCAGCCGAACTGCCGGATGTAAACAAACCTTAATTTCCTGCGGCCTTTTTTTTTTTTTTTTAAGGGGATTAGCCCACCCGGGCATAGGTCACTGACCCACATTGGGGCCTGAGGGGCAAAAATTTAATAGTCAGATAAAAAAATAAAAAAAAGCTGCCTATCTACCTATTGGACAAACTAAAATCGTTCCGGACCACGGGAGTTTCCGGACCACAGAATGCCGGACTGGAGAGGTACAACCTGTACTACAATTTATGAGAAACAGTTGACTTGTCCCAACCGGTAAAATCATTTGATGGCTGCCTCACCTACCCTCATCAGACTAATTAGTCATAATACAGTAGTAATAACCCAACGCCATTACTATAATTATATTACAAAGAAATCCATGACAAACCCCAGACAATAAGCACATTCAACTATAAATTAATACAGAAGTCCACCCTCAGCATATACTGTACGTAGGTGCAATGACACTTCAGGTGGCCAGTTGCCAAGAAAATACAGTAATGTACAATATTAAAAAAATACTAATTTCCACAATATTTATTAAACATCACAGTTTTCTACCTTGTTATATAATATTGTGTGCTTTGTATCATCAGTCCAGGTGAACGATGGCACTTTCAAATATTAACAAACTGTACTAATTAATTTGAGCTTTACCCCAGGCTTTAGTTAGCTCATTATTATAAAAGTCAACAACTATTTGAATGAGAAAATATTTAATTACAAATTGTACATATTTTTCAGCTTCTTAAAATTTTGTTTATAATTCTTGCACCCTCCAGCCAGGTGATATCCTTAGCTGGTGATTGATCGGTATGTTTCGAAAGCATACCTATGATTGGCCAGTTAGCCCGCAGGAACACTTACTCTACAATATTTACAATATTGGTAACAGTTTGTAAGTATGAATACTGTAAGTTGGTTACACGATCTCTGAGTGTGTAACTTATGAGGTGTTTTGAGTATCTGCCCCCTGAGCCAGTGCACAACATTCTACCTAACTGCTGATGTATTCACAAATAAAATTCTGTTTTAGGACATATATTGAACCTGAAAATTATTCTTCCTTTTTTTCTACAACTGAAACTTGAAGTGAAGTAAAAATTGAAAATTTATATCTTTACAATGCAGTACAGTAATGGACTGATGAACAGTTACAGCCTCTTCAGTTGTGTACTAAAAGTGAATGAAAGGAGAATATGGTGACAAGTGGCTTCGGGTTATGTAAGAACAAGTGAATGGATTTCAGCAGATAAGAGAGAAATTACATGTTTACTCTTTGCTGTGATATCCTTCCATGGTGACAAAAGGTCTGTTGGAGAAAATTTAACATAGTAAGCAATGCCTTCCTTTAGTGTTTTACTCCCAAAATCGAGGCTACTGACTGCAAGTGTGAAATGGTATCTTTAAATCAGCCAAAATTAAAACTAAAATATTGCAAGGTGAACACAAGCACATTTACACATGTTGAGACAATATATTATTGGTCAGATACATAAACAAGCCTTCCACTCTATACATATATCATCTACATTGTACCATTAACATAAAAGTATTGCATCACTGCTTCATTAATACATTATATCTGCTCCTTAAACTTTTAAGATCCAAGTTAAGAAATGACTAATTGCATGATTAAAACATACAACAAGTTAAATGCTGTATATGACCTGACAACACTAAACTGTTTAATGTTAATGCATGTGACAGTAAGATATCCTTGTTCATGATGATATCCTGAAGGTATGAGGTGGTAATCCCAGGTGAGACAAGTCAGAGAGAGAGAGGTACTGGAGAAAATATAAAACACCTTGAAACATTATCTACCTTTATGTTTACTCCCCCCCCTCTCTCTCTCTCTTTGTGTGTAGTACGAAGACAGTGAAAAAGAAGAGAATGACGGAAGATAAGAAAGGGCCAAGACAACGTGCAGAAGTGTAAAGTGAAGAAGGTGACAGTTTACAGCAACACTATACAACACACATGTTAAATAATGACAGTGACAGAATGTGGTCACCTACAGTTCATAAAATAATGTAGTAACAAAGAGATTGTCGTCCTTGGTATTGACAACATCTCAGATATTTACACATATACTACTGTACTGTACTGTGACTCCTAATAACACCACTAGTAGTCTTTTTGACTCTTGTTACCAACAAACACTAATATTCAGTCATTTGAAAAACAATTAACAAAGCATACAAATATAAGTTAAACAAAAATATACTACTTTACTGTGAACATTGAAGGGTAAATATTGTATCTTTTGTTCAAAACTGTTCAATATTTTTCCCAAAACCTTAACAATTGTTATTTATCTATGTAAAATTACATTTCCCAATATTTCCACTTGAAGAAACTGTCATGTTTGAAAATGATTTCTCGTCGGTTTTTCTACACAGGATAAATCCAGTACAAGACAATAACCAAACATCAGCGATTAATAAATTAAATTACAGAATATATTTCACCAGTGGTTAAACTTAAAACTAGAATATATATTTATCTCAACACAATCATACCAGACACTTGTACTACATGTATCACCATCAACTTGCCATGTACTCTTGCACCAGATTATACCACATACTGTTTTATTATATCTTTAATTATGTTTTCTTAAGTGCCTATTCAACAGATCTACATTAATTACTGCATGTTACAGTACTACTGTTGCTTCTGAGTGAAGAATGTTTCAATTTCAGTCAGGCTACAAAATTTTCAAACAATCCAATCCAGATTAAAGAGCTAAAGAAACCACTGACTTTCAGATCCATAGACAATTCCCTCTCATGTTACTCCCTTGGCGAAGACGACATCTTATTTTTCCTGAAAAATAAAATATTGGTTATCAAAACAAAGTTGTAGTACAGTACTGTACAGTATTGTACTGTATTAAGCTTTTAACCATAAGGGATTCAAACTAACTGAAACATGATGGAGATCAGGCTGACGTACACTGGTCCTGAGGTGTGCTGTACCTAAAAGGGGTCGAGATAATTCAGTTCATGATGGTTCCAGGACGACTTCCTCGGGTAAACTACCTGGTTAGGAGTGAGCTTATTTGTCCAACTCCCTAAAAAATGTAGTGAAAATGCACATTATCCAGCATTTTACTCTCTTTAGTAATGGATCTTTTTGATAGCAGCCAAAACAAATGTTTGATTTATTTATTTATAGTACTGCAGAGTTTTAATTGTATTATTAAGTGATGAAGTGTGCTTTGCATACTAAGAGTGGCTATATTTTTGTGGCAGTGAAGATGACCCAACAATAGACACACCACATCTTGCTACTGAAAATAATCACTAAAGTTAAGAACTATTTTATGTCAACACCTCCAACACTAATAATTAAATATCTAATTCCTTCTTACTTCATAAACTGAGGTCATCACTTACATTCTGAAGACAGCAGAAAAATTTTACAGGTATCCCATGATTTACGATGGGGTTGCGTTTCTGAAAACCCCATTACAAATTGAAATATCATAAGTCGAGTTCATTATAACATGGGGTTCAACAGGATACGTTCCTAGCCAGTCCGACACGCACATATGTATCATTGAAAAAAATTCCTACAATAATAAAAACTAATAAAATCAATTAAACAACACTCAACACATCGTTAAGAACAAGCCTGGCTGCTTCACAATGTCAAGTTTCACCTCCAGAGAGACAGTTTTGCTGGGCACCTTGGCCTTCCCAGACACAGGAGTCTTCAACAATAGCTTGCTAGACATTTTCAAAGTTACATTGCTCACTTCTGTCACACAAAAGCAAAAGCACTTCACAATAAAAAAAACTGAGTACAGTACAATCTGAATATTAGTGATGTCCTCTCACTGTACGGGAAAAACCCACACTGACGATAACGTAAAACCAAAGATAACGGCCAACACCGCTCAAATCATGTTCACAAAAACAGATGCTGATGCCGACTGATAATGGTCGAGTTCCATGATGACGGGCAGATGCGATCACCATGGAACGAAGTGAGGGACTGTAGTGCATGGGGTGGCCGCCTGGTGGGTAGATGACGCTACGGCTGACTAGTGTAGCAAGATATGCTTTCCGTATTTTGTGCGTCAGTGAGTTTGGCTGGACGATGACTATCGTTAATGTAATTTTTAATGTAAATAGGGAGGTGGTCTTAGGACAACATCGTTAAAGTGAAATATTGAAAATCGGGGGATACCTGAACATTAGATACACGGTGTAGTAGTGTAGAGAACATATTATTCATGCCTGAGTTAAGGCACCTATGTGTGAAATATGAATAAATTATTGGGGATACAGTAAGTCCTCGCTTAATGTCGTCCCGCTTAACTTTCTTTCGGTACTATGTCGCTGAACTTTAGAGACCAAAAATTAGTTTAACGTCCCGGTGATCCGATACTACGTCGTTTTGCATCGTCACGGACCACTTTCTACAGCACATCACCCTCTCTTGTCTGGCTGCGCTACGCTCTCTCGGCTCGGCGCGCTGCCCTCACTCGCGGAAAGTCACAGCGTCCCCAAGTGACGCCAAGCCAGTCTCTGTTACGACTTCACATCATTCGTGTGAGCTTAGGTGTTTTTGCTCTAAAACTGTACTCTAACCATTCAAAATGGCTTCCAAGTGCCCATCAAGTGCTACTGATGCTAGTGTAGTGAAGAGGCAATGCAAGACCATTACCCTGGCTACAAAAATGGATGTATTAACCCGATTTGAAAAAGGGGAACGTGCTGTGGACATAGCCGCTGTGCTTGGTCTAACCCCCACAGCAGTGTGTACTATCTGGACCAACGCTGACAAGATTAAGGTTCTTCTCCGAGTGCTACTAAAACGACTCGTACTAGAAGCACAGTGATAGAGAAGGTGGAAAAGATGCTGGCAATGCCCCTGTGAGCCTTATGGTTATCCAGCATAAGGCCAGATCCTTGTTTGACGACTTAAAGGCAGAAGAGGGTGAAGGATCGAAGGAAGAGATCTTTACGGCCAGCCAAGGATGGTTTCAACGATTTAAGCGTCGTTATACCTTTCACAATATAAAGATGACTGGTGAAGCTGCCAGTTCAGATACGGTTGCTGTCGAGACATTCCCGCCAGAATTCAAACAGATTATCCAGCAAGGAGGCTACTCACCGAAGCAAGTCTTCAATATGGATGAGACTGGTCTCTTTTGGAAAAGGATACCTGAGAGGACCTATATCTCCAAGGAGGAGAAAAGAGCGCCAGGTTTTAAAGCAGCAAAAGACCGCTTGATGCTGCTGCTTGGCGTGAACGCTGCCGGTGACTTCAAGCTGAAGCTTATGGTGATTTCTCGCGCTACCAACCCATGGACCCTGAAAGGTTACTCTAAGGATCACCTTCCTGTCATTTACAAGGCAAACAAAAAGGCATGGATAACCAGCGCCATATTTAGCCAGTGGTTAAACGTGTATGCCATCCCAGCACTGAAGGAATACTGTACCAAGGAGAACCTTAACTTCGAAATTCTTCTGATCCTCCCAATCTCGACGACTTGCACGACAGTGTAAAAGTTGTATTCCCGCCTCCAAACACGACAGCACTGATGCAGCCTATGGACCAAGGCGTCATCTCCGCATTCAAGGCATATTATTTATGCCGTACCATGGCCCAGCTGCTCAAGGTTATAGACGGAGAAAATAAACCAACGATCCGAGAATATTGGCGTGACTTCAACATTCTTCATGCAATTGACAACATTGGCAAGACATTTCCAAAAGTTGCCTGAATGGTGTGTGGCGTAAACTATGGCCCAAGTGCGTCAACAGTTTTACTGGATTCACGTACTTAGTCCCAGCTGTGAATAGGGATATCCTCAGCTTGGCTGGAGAGGAAGGCTTTGATGAGCTGGAATCAGAGGATATTAAGGACGTCCTGGCATCCCATACAGAAGAGCTCACCAACGAAGATCTGCAACAACTAGCAGAACACAGTCCTGTTGAAGACGACGACGAAGAAGAACCTCAATGAACGCTAACTTCCAAGAGCTTGGCAGAATCGTTGAACATGTTCCAGTGAGCAATGCAAATGCTTCTAGATGACGACCCAAACAGAGAAAGTAGCTCAAAGGTTCAACGCAGTATTAAGGACAGTCTTGGTAGCTAAACCGAGATCTATAAGGAGAAGAAGATGAGTAGCACCAAGCAGTCAACACTGGATTCATTTTTTCGTCAGGGGACGGCAGAAGGAGCTTCTTCACAACAGCCGGCAGCTGAGGAGGAGCAAACAACAATGGAGGAGGAGCAAGCAGCAGCGGAGGAACCCCAGTCAGAGTAAGAGGAGGAGGAGGAGGCAGCAGCAGAGTCTCAGTGACTCACCACCCTCCTCCGCTCCCGCCATCCTCCTCCTTTGCTTCACAATCCACCACACACTCGCTCTACCACCTCCGTCCATTGGCGAGTGCCAATACAAACTTAGTACTGTAGTTCAATAAACTCTACTATTCTCAATAGAAATGGCAATGATTTTCTGTATATGTAACAATTTTCATGGGGAAAATTGATCGGCTTAACGTTGTTTCGCATAATGTCGCGTTTTCAAGAACGTAACCCCGACGTAAAGCGAGGACGCCCTGTATATCTGACTTGCCCTCATATCTGACAATAAAGATGGCCAAATCCCTCAACACTGTACTCTGCAGCACAGTCCAAAGAACCATAATTCAAGATACAGTAATAAAGTGAGACACACAATCAAAGACACTGTGGATATGTACCACTTATACATCCTCTTCACAGAGCAGCATGAGACAAAAATAAGAATACTGTACAGTATAAGTGAACATACCCAGAGTTCATTTAGTGCAATGATTGTAGTGTTGTGGAGCGCTGGTCCAACGAGTGGGTTCATTTGATGCATGTAACAACACAGCCAGCTGAAAGATGTATTAGTATATGTTATAGTGTGCCATATAAAACCAAATGGCATATTACAAATAAAATATTGTGTGATATATTTACAGATCTTTTTCCCAAGATGTCAAAATAAGTTATGGGCTGATGGTTGACTGACCAGCTGTAACACAACTGCTCACAAAAGAACAGTGAGTCACGTTTTTTAACATCAGATTACAATAATATATATTCGAGCAATATTCTATATTAAATGATGAGTCTCAAACACCAAGAAAAATGTACTTTTGTTAACTTTTATCCCATATTTGTTTTTCTGCTTCCAGGGGAACACTTCATTCTCTGGGGATCCCAAATTATTATTGTTATAAATGAATACTTTATAATACTGTTATATGGACATAAATAGGTACTGTATGTAGATATTGCATCAAATACAGCACATGTACAGTCTCGTTCAAGATTCTTCGAACACTGCTGGAGACAGCTGGCAACTCAAGGCCGTTTGTTTACTATAGCACGTAGTATAATATAATCTGAAACAACAAAGCCCAACTATTAAATTAAACAACGGGGAACTAAGTAACCAATCACCGATCACTTTTACAGTTATTCATAATTTTTACTACGCACTATAGTAAACAAACGGCCTTGAGTTGCCAGCTGTCTCCAGCAGTGTTCGAAGAATCTTGAACGAGACTGTACATAGTTTACAATAAAATAAGTTACTGATACATATACAGCAAAATAGTCTTGTCCAACACAGGGGTTAAGTTCCTCTAAAGTGGCATGTAGGACACATGCATGTTGGGCGCTCTTTCTATTTTTTGAGAAAAATAAGGTTAAGGGAAATGGCTGTAGATTGTATATATAAAAAGACACAACAACAGGTCAACTTACAATAGCCAACAGGATGCTGCTGTAATAATCAGGATACATTGCATCAAACTGAAATGGAAAAAAAATAGAATTCATAAAATTACTACGGTATTCATATACGTACTGAATTCACCTAACAAAACTGAACTATTTGGTTTACTAATTCTATACTGAACAGCTGCCAAATGGGTATTTTTTGTTCACACCAAGTTTGTATTACAATAAACATGTGGTGCCCACTTCCTGATTGTTTTGGTTGATAATTAATCCCTTCACTACTACATCTTCTTATCTACTTTACTCTGGCTCCCGCCAGATGATTTTATTCAGCTGGGGAAATTCCATCTCGTGGTCAAGGGGTTAAACAAACCTTTGCTGCTTCTACAAGATGCAGATTCAAACATATCCATTATCCATTTGCTCATAAATGCCCCTTTTTGTAAAGGAACAACCTTACTTAGAACATGAATTCATCCCCCACTCATCCTACTGTAACTTTATTATTTTTATCTGGCTAGTGCTAAACGATTACACCCAGCTGAGGAAGCCCCTAGTGTCAAAGTGTTATTCTACATTGTAATCTCTTACAACTGATATACTGATACAGTACATGCTTTCCGTCCCCACCCCTAGTACCCCGCCCACAGAAAGACACCTACCCCGACACACCCCTCCCATAGCTCTACTTAATACCATGTTTTGTGTCAAAGTTTTGAAGCACAATGGTTCTCAAACTGAGTTGATGTTCTATCTAAGTAATCCCGACCATCTCGCCAACCTTCCATAAAAGACTCTCTTTGGGGCGTGGCTTCATAAAAGTGTTGCAGATCTCTTGAAACTGAATGTCCCAATCACCCCAGACGAACCCATTAATGCCATTCCTCCTTGGCTGGACATATCAGTTCCTATTCATTACACTCCTGTTGGTAGTAAGCAAATGTTAAACACCGATGTGGTGAGATGTGTCACACTAGAAACTATTAACAGACACATAGAGAGTATTAAATCAAGTGAATGTTATGCTTTTACTGATGGTTCTGTGCAGACAAACACAGGTAGAACAGGCTGTGCAATTGTAATATATAAAGAAAAAGAGATGATAGTGTCAAACAAACAAAGGCTGAACAACTGGTCCAGCACAACACAAACTGAACTAACTGGAATCTACTTAGCCACAGACTACCTCAAAGAAAATGGAGGTGGGGTGATATCCTGTGACTCTCAAAGTGCTTTGAAATCAATGAACAGCCCATCAGGCTCTATGTCGAAAGTTGTATGTGATATTAAAAGGAATGTGATAACTGCCAACGAGAGCAACTATCGTATCGAATTTGTGTGGATTCCGTCCCATGTTGGAATTAGGTATCATGACCGTGCTGATAGACTAGCCAATGAGGCATGTAAGAAAGAAAATGTTGACCGTGACCTTGGCCTGTCCAATGCTGTAATTAAAAACATTCAAGTCAGAATCATGAACTCTGATCTAGGAGAAGTAAGAAATGCAGAGACCTGACAGTTGTAGCATTAGTAAATATGACAAATTTTGTGACAAGAGGTACCGGTATGGCCAGCATAAGGACAGAACCAGACAATGTGATGTAGTTGTGGCCAGAATTAGGCTAGGATACAGACACATCTGGCAAGTTAGTAACGCTGTACCCATACCGGAACACTCAGCATGTAAACTTTGTGATAAACCTTTAAAGCATACACTTGAACACTATATTATTGAATGTGACACTGTCAAAGACTTCAGGCCACCTGACTTATTGCATCTTGAACTATGTAATTACTTCATTGAATCAGGTGTGCTTGAGGACATTCTTGCTGTTTATCCCAAATTTGCTAGCCCACACTGATTAGTCTTCAATTAGAATATGACTCCAATGTATGTGATCCACTGACCTATATATACTGCTAATGAATATGATGTATTTCCTTCTTTGTGTACGAACCTCTGTCCTGCATGGCAGTGAACAGTGGCATTACCCACATGAATCTGACCTATATAGTGTCAATGAATATGATGCAATCTTTGTGTACGAACCTCTGTCCTGTATGGCAGTGAAGAGTGACATTACCCACATGAATCTGACCGACGTATATGTATGTATATATGTGTGTATGTGTGCATATGTGTATATACATGTACAGTTGTACCCCGCTTAACGCGGTCAATTGAACCCACAGGGTACCGCGTTAAGTGAAAACCGCGTTAAGTGAACAACAGAACATATGGGATTAATTCCAATAGAGACTGGCCCGACCCCCAAACTCCACTTTTTGACGACACACAACTATGTTGTAGTAAAAATATTATCTTAACTTTATGATGGTATGCACACACAATTAATAATTAAGAGAAATATCAATAATATTAGGTTTTTTAACACTTACTTTAGTAGAAAAGATGGCTGGGCACACGGGGATGGGGGGTTGGTTCCGAGGCAGAGGGCAGATTATTGGCCCTCACCTGTATCACTTGTATCAATTGTATCACTATCCACCACATAAGCTTGCAGGGCCTCTTTGTCAAACCCCTCAAAGTCCATATAAGTCCATATCCTCACTATAATTATCACTATCACTGACTTGGGCCGGCTGTGGTGGGTGGCAGGTGAAGAACTCGGTAATGTTTTGATGACTGGGCGACCTTGTGCGCATCGTGCCCACGCCGCTTCCCGCGTATATGAGTAGATGAACCGCGTTAAGTGAAAGTTCGGTTCTGGCGAGGCACCGCATATATGAGAAATCGCGTTAAGTGAAACCGCGTAAAGCGGGGTACAACTGTACATGTATATGTATATGTGTATATGTATGTATATATGTGTGTGTACATATACTGTATGTATATGTACTGTCAATGAATATGAAGCATCCCTTTGTGTATGAACCTCTGTCCTGCATGGCAGTGAACAGTGACATTACCCATATGAATCTGACCTCTATACATTTATAGCTGTTAATGAATATGATGCATTTCTTTGTGTATGAACCTCTGTCCTGCGTGGCAGTGAGAAGTGATACCACCCTCAGTGTCAAGACCTGGCTGAATTACTCAGAATAGGCAAACTGTACTACAAGCTCTGCCAATAAATTTGTTAAACTAAAACCCTCCCTCTCCCTCCTGCTCACTAGTGATTGCTTCAGTTTCACAATTCAGAATTCGTTGCAAACTGGTAAATGCAGGAGTGGAGCCAACTGTACATTATTTTAAGCTATGTTAGGATAGGATAAATACCAAGTAAGTTAATTTTATGAAAGAATATTCCCAGACCTTGGCAAATGATACCACCAGTTACTTCTGTTAACCTCAAGACAGTACTTGAGGCCTTCACTTCTGGCGTTAATGCTCTTTTAAGGATACATGACTTTGGTTTGCATAAGGTGGGCAGGGCTTTGAAGACGAGAGAAAATGTGGGGTAAAAAAAAAATGAAATGTAACCTAACCTCAGAAAGTCCTATTACTATAAAAAAAAGAAGAAAAATCACCCTTTTTAACCAATGGCGGAGGAAAAAAGTGATTCTCTTTTGGTTTTGCGTGTACAGTATTCAGTGTTTTTGTCAGCGATTCTCTTCCTGTTTTGCCTGTTTTTTGTGTTGAGGTCACAAGGGAGGCATAACACAACTGAATACGAGATTTAAACTGTCCTGTAATTGGTCAAAGCAGATCGTGCAAAATTCATGTGAAATAATTTCATAAAATATCCTGCGAATATGTGTTTAGTGAACTTAAAATCTGTCAATATTCTTGTATCGTATTCTTGTCCAGATCACCTTCAGCAGAAGTAACACATTGTAACAGGTTATAATGTAGGAAAGGTTAGTTCAGCTTCTCAAAGGTTCTATTAATGTTTATTTTCGTGTGTGTGTTTTAAGCCAACATTTTCCCCCATCTTCAAGGACCTGACCACTTTGAGAGAAATCATTGTTGTTGCCAGTGCTAAAGAGGCCATATCAACATAAATAAACATTAGCACAAAAAAAGGTCAAATTCTTTCAAACCACAATTAATAACATGAGACATTGGTATTTTACTAACAGAATTCCCATTTGGGCATAAAACCAAAATCTTTACCATGAACTCAAATATTTCCTACTGTAGGTAGTTTAGGCATGCAACTCATTTGGACTACAACCTGATAATCTACACAATATTGTATAGGTATATCTGGTACTTCATACTCGCCCAATATAACGAAACAGTAAAACAAACATGGAAGTAAATTTGACGCCCATTAAATACAATAATACCCTTTCTTCTATGCAGTGAATATTTTTCCGTAACCGGCTAAGTTCCTACTAATGCTATTTTACCGTGAGTGTGCTCTGATTGGCTTAATAGTTTCTGTTTAATATGACGGGGGTCTGCTCCCTGGCTAGGAAATTAGGTAAGGTTAGGGAGGTTTCTTTGGGTGGTTAGGTCAGGTTCTATTAGGTTCTCGTAAATGTCGCCTCTTTTATAATGATAAGTTTCCATGCACAACAGAAATATGGTTAGCTATGTTTACAGCTACACAATGATCGACTCATGGCGAAATAAATGCCAAATACCACCAGTCATGGTCAAATATAGTTCTTGTATTGTTCGCACTCACGGTAAAATAGCGTTAGGAAGAACTTACTGGTCATGGTAAAATATCCACTGTCTTTCTTCTACACAAAAACCCCTACAACAGCTAGCTTAGGTGTGCCAGAATAGTAAATTATTAACCATAAAACAACTTCCAACATTACCCAAAGTTAATCTACAGGATAATGATGATATACAAGACAAGATGGCAGTGTCTACTTATAGTTGCGTGGTGAGTTATTTAGAGGTGGAACGTCAAACAAGTCATCCACCTCAATTCTTACAAGGCATTACTCATTTCTGGAATCGCGCAGTTGTGTCTCTTAAGTCCTCATAACATAAATAAATAAATGAAAAGTATCATGGTCTCATTCCCCAAACACCTACTGCTGCGCGATCCCAATATGCGCAGAACTGTGACTTTATGCGTTAGTCATCCCCCTGTATGACTTACCTCCTATTTGGTCCTTTAGGAAGGATGATGGGCAGGACTATACCCACAATACCCCAAAATAGGGTCAGTAAAATCACGGGAATCGCTGCAGCTCCCATTTTTTCGTTCAGCTGATGTGAGCAACTGTCAAGAAGGCCGATGTTAAGAAGACATTCTCTGCCACAACGGCTGAACTATTATATTTTAAGAGATATTTATCTACAATGATAACAATAATATTATAATCATAATACTACTATTATAAAAATAATAGTAATTATAATACTACTTATAGGAGTTTGGACAGTCTACCTTAATTATTCGAAGATAATGTCATATTATATAAGGCTCAATTGCTTCCTGTCGCCTATTAAACTTATGCATGATTTCAAATAAATAAAATGTTCAATACTGAAACACTTTATGACAAATTAGAATAAATTTAATAGACTTGTTTCATGAATAGAAAAATATATGGACACTTGATGTTGCTCGTGGTAGTTTTGAACATTACTATATTGCCGATCCTCCCTGAAATGTCAATAACAACACTAATCTGTTATAAACGGATTATATATTCGATTTTTTTATATAATTACTTGTCGTAAATGATAATTTTTATGAACTAAATTGTTTCAAACTTAACTTATAAATAATAAAGTAATATTTTATGAAAATAATAAGAGTTATAAATTTTACGCACTTAATTATTATAAAATTTTCATAAGCTTGACCTAGAGACAAACAATCGATTATATATAAGTATTACTTACAGCTGTGATGAATATGAGAAGTAATTATTTATTACAATTATTAATGATGTAAGTGAAATTATATTCCAAGGTATTTATCTTCTTTACTTACTTTATACACACACACACATGTATATATATATATATATATATATATATATATATATATATATATATATATATATATATATATATATATATATATATATATATATATATATATATATATATATATATATATTGATAAAATCACACGGGAAAAGGGAAACAGTTCAAAACTGATAATATGTTACATAAATTTATTTGTCAGTGGCCCAAGGTTAAAAATGCTTTGAAAACCTTGGATCTAGATGTAGGATAGTTATTTAGTAGATCCCTTATTTTTGACCTGACCTGACTAGTCACGTCGCCCCTTTCTCTTAAGCTCCTCTACGTGTGTGTTAGAACATAAGAACATAAGAAAATAAGAAGTCTGCAATAAGCCGGTTGGCCTATGCATGGCAGCTCCTGTCGAGAGTTACTACCACTCTATCATCCATGAATCTATCTAGCCTCCTTTTGAAACTTTCCAGAGTTCCAGCACTTACTACAAAGTTGCTAAGCTTGTTCCACTCGTCCACCACCCTATTTGTGAGTTCCTTCCTATCTCCCTCCTAAACCTAAACTTATCCAACTTGAATCCGTTGCCCCGAGTCCTATCCTGCTCGGATATTATAAGAACTTTATCTATGTCCCCTTTATTGATTCCTTTCACCCACTTAAATACTTCTATCATATCTCCCCGCACTCTTCGTCTTTCTAGGGAATGCAAGTTAAGTTTCTTTAACCTATCCTGATATGGAAGGTTTCTAAGTCCCGGAATCATTTTCGTCATTCTACGCTGCACCGACTCTAGTGAATTGATATCCATTCTATAATAGGGGCACCAGAACTACATAATCGAGGTGCGGCCTGACTAGCGCAAGATATAGTTGCAATAAGACCTCGGCACTCTTATTACTTACACTTCTAGATATATAACCCAATACTCTGTTTGCCTTATTTCTAACATTAACGCACTGTTTTCTAGGCCGTAGGTCCGGGCTTACAAGTGTCCCTAGGTCTCTTTCACAAGTCGACTTCTCTAGGTTGATGTTGTTAAGGCTATATACAGTACATTGTCAGTATTTGTTCTTCCAATATTAAGTACGCTGCACTTGCTGGTGTTGAATTTCATTTGCCATTTTTCAGACCACCCCTGCAGTTTATTTAGATCCTCCTGTAATGCATTTGCATCCTGCCCTGAATTAATCTGCCGCCCTATTTTGGTGTCATCCGCAAACTTGCTTATGTCACTGCTGATCCCAGTATCGTGATCGTTTATGTAGATTATGAACAAGAGTGGGCCTAGTACTGACCCCTGGGGAACCCCACTGGTTACACGGCCCCACTCAGATTTAACACCATCTACGCTGACCCTCTGCGTTCTATCGGTGAGCCATGATTTTATCCAAATTAAAACTTTCCCCTCGATACCATGAGCTTTAATTTTTCTCAGAAGAAGAAATACTGTCAATGTATACAGCCTTAACAACATCAACCTAGAGAAGTCGACTTGTGAAAGAGACCTAGGGGTACTTGTAAGCAAGGACCTACGGCCTAGAAAACAATACGTTAATGTTCGAAATAAGGCAAACAGAGTATTGGGTTTTATATCTAGAAGTGTAAGTAATAAGAGTGCAGAGGTCTTATTGCAACTATATCTTGCGCCAGTCAGGCCGCACCTCGATTATGCGGTTCAGTTCTGGTGCCCTTATTATAGAATGGATATCAATTCACTAGAGTCGGTGCAGCGAAGAATGACGAAAATGATTCTGGGACTTAGAAACCTTCCATATCAGGATAGGTTAAAGAAACTAAACTTGCATTCCCTAGAAAGACGAAAAGTGCGGGGAGATATGATAGAAGTATTTCAGTGGGTGAAAGGAATTAATAAAGGGGACATAGATAAAGTTCTTATAATATCCGAGCAGGATAGGACTCGGAGCAACGGATTTAAGTTGGATAAGTTTAGGTTTAGGAGGGAGATAGGAAGGAACTGGTTCACAAATAGGGTGGTGGACGAGTGGAACAAGCTTAGCAACTTTGTAGTAAGTGCTGGAACGCTGGAACGTTTCAAAAGGAGGCTAGATAGATTCATGGATGATATAGAGCGGTAGTAACTCTCGACAGGAGCTGCCACGCACAGGCCAACCGGCCTATTGCAGACTCCTTATTTTCTTATGTTCTTATGCGGTACTCTGTCAAATGCTTTGCTAAAGTTTAATTAAATAACATCGTAATTTTCGTTGGTGTGGGGATTAGTGGATTACATCATTATGACCTGACCTCAAGTTTAATAAGGTCACCCTGTATATTTAAGCCTCTCTCTGTCCATGTAAACCACTTGCCTGTGAAGATGTCTTGAATAAAGACCAAGCTAAGGTGCTCCGTTGTTTCCCTTTTCCCGTGTGATTTTATCAAGATTTATCTTATTCACGTTTCATATATATATATATATATATATATATATATATATATATATATATATATATATATATATATATATATATATATATATATATATATATATATATATATATATATATATATATATATATATATATATATATATATATTATATATATTTATTTATTTATTTATATGCAAGTAAATCACATAAGAATGGAGGAAACTGCAGCGGGCCTATTGGCCCATACTGAGCAGTCCCGTTTACACCCAACCCCTATTGCTCATATGAGCATCCAACCTACAGTATGTTTGAAGCTATTCAGCGTATTCGAGTTAATGATGATATTTGGTTACTTGTTCCATTCATCCACTACTCTGTTTCCAAACCAGTGTTTACCTATTTCACGCCTAAATCTAAATTTGTCAAAATTAAAACCATTGTTACGAGTTCGCTCCTGGTTGGATAGTTTGAGTACCTTTGTAATGTCCCATTTGTTTAGCCCTGACTTCCACTTATACACCTCTATCAGGTCGCCCCTTGCTCTACGTCTCTTGAGGGAGTGCAAATTAAGATGCTTTAACCTGTCTCTATACTCAAGGTTCCTAATGCCCGGGATTAGTCTTGTCATTCTCCTCTAAATTCTTTCCAATGATTCTATATCCATCCTGTAATACGGTGACCAGAACTGAACTGTGTAATCCAGATGTGGTCTCACAAGCGCAAGATACAGTTTTAGGATGACCTCGCTAGTCTTGTAACTAACACTCCTTTGTATGAACCCAAGTACTTTATTAGCCTTGTTACGAGCAAAAACACATTGTTTACTTGGCTTAAGGTTCCTACTTATCATTACTTCTAAATCTCTCTCGCAGTCGGATTTCTCTATGGCATTGTTGTTCATCTGGTATCTGGTTTCACTGTTTACATCTCCTATAATGAGTACTTTATATTTGTCCACATTGAATTTCATTTGCCATTTTTCAGACCACTCGAAAAATTTGTTTAGATCTTCCTGCAGTTTTGCCGAGTTCTCGTCAGATTTAATAACACGTCCTATTTTAGTGTCATCAGCAAATTTACTTATGTTGCTGTCTATGCCGATATCTATGTCGTTTATGTATATAATAAATAATAATGGTCCAAGTACTGAGCCTTGGAGAACTCCACTTGTGACGTTGCTCCAATGGGACTTAGTGCCGTTAATGCTCACTCACTGTTTCCTGTCTTGTAACCATGCCCTAATCCATTTAAGGATGTTACCTTTGCTGCTATGTGCTTCTACCTTTCTAATTAGTCTTTCGTGGGGCACTCTGTCGAAGGCTTTGCTAAAGTCGAGATATACCACATCATAATTGTGCCCCTCGTCCACCGATTCGAAAACTGATGAAAAGAATGTTAATAGATTAGTTAGACAAGAACGTCCGCTTGTGAAGCCATGCTGGGAATCATTGATCAATCGGTGCTTCTCCAGGTGATTTCGTATAGAGTTTGAAATGATTGCTTCCAGTAATTTGCCTACTATTGATGTTAGACTGATTGGGCAGTAGTTAGAGGATAGTGATCTATCCCCCTTCTTGAAAATCGGTATTACATTCGCTATCCTCCAGGATTCTGGTACTACACCCGTTTTTAAGGACATGTTAAACAACTTTGCTAAGGGCATACTAAGCTCTTCCTTACAGTCCTTTAATACTCTGGCAAATATCTCATCGGGACCAGGTGACTTATTAGGCTTTAGTTTGTCTATTTGCTTACTAACATCGTTACTAGTCACTACTATCTCGCTTAATTTGTTTTCTTCACTATCTCTGAATAGAGTCGGTGCCTCGGGTATCATGTTTAAATTTTCAGTGGTGAAAACTGTTGAAAAATATTTATTCAAATTATTGCTCATTTCTCCGTCATTATCAGTGAGCTCGCTGGTATCTGAC